TTTCATTTGGAAGGAGGCGAGGAATGCAAGCCACGCAAGTCTTCAGTAAATCAAGCTTTGGCTTACGATCAAGGCTAATTATATGATATAAGATTAAAAAGAGAATGCACTATGAAAAGAGCTTATAGTACTATTAGGCAGAAAATTACAAATGAAATATATTAAATTAACGGATTTTTAAAAATGCGGGCAATGACCAGTCGGAAAACACGGACGACATTATGAGAATTGAAGATCATAAATGAAACTAGGTAAATTCAGAAGGCATTGTGTAAAATGAAGGGCGAAACGGAAGACTCAACCATAAATCATTGGATATCTAGACTAAATTATATAAAGAATGGTTTTCCCTTAATTTTTCCGAATTAAAAAACGAGGATTTCTGTTTAAAAAGGCTCAACATATAAGTATAAATATATCAATTAAAGATCTTCCCATTTGATATGGGACAATAAATCAAAGTGGATATTTTGTCAAAAAAGACGTGTTGAGCAACGAGACTGGAATTTAAACCAAAATCTCAACTCTGAGGCATTTCGACAAGCTAAGTAGAGGATAGCTAATTATATAAATATATAAGTGAATAAGATGCCATTAAAATACAGAAATACTGATAATATAAGACCCACGCAACACTTTCATCAACATCCTTGGGTATCAAGTCCAGTTTAGTTTGCATCATCATTGTCCGGCAGACTTGTACATCAAGTTGTCGGAGTATCACTTCAAAAGCCCGCCTCACCGGTCCCAAGTAAGCTTGAATGCCTAGGCTAAAGCCAAGGGCATCATTCAGGTTGGTGCCATGCTGAAAAAAAGTACGTTTTCCACCAAATGGTAACCGCCAGACTGGACCAGCACCCGCACCAGAGCCAAGACAACTCGCATTACCACCGCCACCTCCAACTGCCATTGCAGAGGCAGAAGCAGTTTGAGAAGCGCCTACAACCACCGATGTCATTCCACTTGGAGAACCGGGACTACAGCCAGGCCCAGTGGAATGCTGCTGAGGCATGGGCAAAGGTTCAGCTGCTTCGTTTTGCTGTAGGCGATGGGCAATCAGCAAGAAAGCACAGAGACCAATATTCATGCGCTGAAATGATAAATATAATGGAAGTAAGTTGAAATGAAATAGTAAATCAGAGCACGTTGAAAAAACTGTAAATATTTATTTCTACCAGCCTCCTCGAGCAGTAAAATTGTTAATATTGTACCATTCCGAAATTTCATATGGGCCTTTCGAATACTAAAGTGAAACGTGATAAAAAAGTCGATGTGATGACCAAATCTTTCGAATCGACTCCCATTCCTATACTCCTAAAAGTAAACAAGCACAATAATTCCTAGCTATACAACGTTTTAAAAGCAATCGGTAAAAAACACCTATTTAATTTCCACAACTTATTGGGACTCAATTTTCCATTTAAAAGGAAAAGTTGGTTGGAAGGAATTCATTAATTGATATCCCTGGAAATTTAAGGAGGATTGCCGCGGAGTAGGTAATATTATGTTGTGCAAATAAGTCCTCGGCTCACCGTCCTGAGACTCCGACGAGCCCGTGCTAAGCTGTTTTGTAGTATGTGGCAGGTATCATCAGAATAAGTATCCTTATTTTACGAAATAGCTTATCAATATAATTGACCAAGAGAGAGGCCAGTTGTAACCATAGTCACTACTTATATCTATTCTTGCTACCTTAATAAGGCATCCCATGATTTAATTGATTACCTCATATCTGCTCCGAATGCTTGCAAATGAATGAAGTTAATTTTTGAACAGGAAATGGATGCGGTAGCAGCTTATTACTTCTATAAATACACTAGTGTGCGATCCTTTGATGTTGATTCAGGCTTAGATATACGCTATTGTCTTCTGTGTCATGAGAGATGCCATAACCAGAATCGAGGTTATTCCAGCCTCCTCATTTTGTTCAGTGCTTATTCATGCTCACTTCCTTTCTCACTCTCTGTAAGCCTATCCGGCAAAAATAAATAGTTCGCACTCAATTTCCGCACTCGATCCTCTTATTTAGGATGTTGGTTAGTTTATTTATTCATATAGTCCAAAATCTTATGCTTTTATGTAAAGTCTGAACTCACCGAGTACATGCCTAACACGTTTTGCTGAGTATGGAGACAACGATTTGAGGCGTAAAAGTAGGCTAAAGAAATTAATAGACAACATTCTGAAGAGAATGGACGAGTGTAGGAAATAGAGTATGAACTAGCTGTGGCTTTTGGTTAGGCTCTAGGTCACGAAGAAGGTAAACAGGAAGGAGCCATGAATCAGAGGGGGCTGGAATAGCCTCAGGCCTAGTTAGGGCTAGCACACCTATTCTCTTAGTTTAGCATATTGGCATGCTACTTAATAAAGTATGGATTCTTGCTGTGATAAATTATGTCACATGACAGATAAGCTGATCACGGGTTCATTGAAATTGCAGAACTGAGAGCCAAATAATCCGTGCTGAGCTTTTGTCTGTCATGTAATGAACATCGTCAGAGCCAGAAAACATTATTCACGAACGATCACCAAAATACACTAAACCAAAAAAGGTGGTCAGTTGAGATTTCACTTACTTCTTATACCACACTTTGCGATCTT